ACTGAACAACATAATACACATGATTCTAAAGTACAACATGAGGCATGATTCTAGCAGACTGAACAACATAATACACATGATTCTAAAGTACAACATGAGGCATGATTCTAGCAGACTGAACAACATAATACACATGATTCTAAAGTACAACATGAGGCATGATTCTAGCAGACTGAACAACATAATACACATGATTCTTCATGTTGTACTTTATGTTGTTCAGTCTGCTAGAATCATGCCGATTTTAGTTAAACATATTTAAAATGTTGAAATCTATCAAAAAGATTGTATACAGTATGGATAGATCTAAAATTATAAGTTCAAGCTTGATCATTTTGGACAACCTTGTAACCATGAGATATAATTTTGAGTGTATCAAGTGTATCTTCACAAAATTTGGCAATCTTTTAATAAATATTACAAGACTACTGTAATTTGGAATTATAAATCAAGTATTTACAATAAACATTTGTGTGTGAAGTTATAAAGCCTTTACTGAGTCAGTCTGAGTGAAAGGTAGAATTTGTTTGTCTGTGAAGTTACTAAGTCTTTACTGAGTCAGTCTGAGTGAAAGGTAGAATTTGTTTGCCTGTGAAGTTACTAAGTCTTTACTGAGTCAGTCTGAGTGAAAGGTAGAATTTGTTTGCCTGTGAAATTACTAAGTCTTTACTGAGTCAGTCTGAGTGAAAGGTAAAATTTGTTTTTCCATGAAGTTACGAAGCCATTACTGAGTCAGTCTGAGTGAAAGGTAAAATTTTGTTTTTCCATGAAGTTACGAAGCCGTTACTGAGTCAGTCTGAGTGAAAGGTGAGTTTCCTGCTAAGAATAAAAATACTTATTTTCATCTTAAAGTTTTAATATTTCATTTGCATAACCTCTAAAACCTCCTAATATGAACACCGTAAGTTTTAAAGCTAGAACTTTATATTTTATTTTCTCTAGCCTAACACTAACTGTAGTTAAATCATTTGCAGTGAAACAAAAGTTTTAAAATTGTGAAATGAAATGAACACAGCCTTTTCTCCCCCCCCCACCTTATTTTCAGAGGTTTTTCAACTTGTTATATTTATAATTTTAACTGTTTGCATTTTCATGTAGTTTTTCCTAATTTTAGGGTTTTATTGTCTGACTTGTACAGCTCGCAGTTTATTTATTCCCCAAAAGCAATACACCACAACAGGAATATATTAGCAGGTTTCCTACCATGAAATTGTCCACTTGGACATATACTAAACAAGGCCTAACCTCATTTCTCTAAGTGCTTTATTGAAATAAAAATTAATGTACAAAAATCAGTAAAACAGAATATCCCAAAAGTGACTATAATTTAATTAGTTTACTACCTATAAATAGGTTAAAAGAAACTGTTACTCCTATGAGCATCAACTTTGGTCACAAACACACGCACATCAATTACTTCCTCTGGGCTAAGATCTTTTACTACCAAATTCAGAAGGGCAGTTGTTAGCTTGAAATTGAAAATAAACATTGGTTATAAACATGTACATCAAATAAGATGAGCTGGTTCTGAAAACTACCTACAAAGTTAATAACAGATGAGCAGAGTTTCTGTCATGGGTTGGGAAAATACATTGATATCTCAGAAAACGAAGTTGTGACATAATAAACTGTACATTTGACTTTGTTATTATTTATAGATTGTGTTTACATCACTAAAACAGTGTAATTGGTACACTACTGAAGTTATAGAAACTAACAGAGGGAGAATTTCAAGTGACAAAAACAACAAAATCAAAAGAAAAAAAAAGATTGGCAATTGTTTAATTTTTTTTTGAAATTAAAATTTAGATAATATTAAAGTTTGAATTAAAAACAACATTTTGATGCTAATTTTATTGATAATCAAGTTGTTGAATTAGATTTTGAATGGAATTCTGTAAAACTTCATACAAAAGAGCCAGGCCTGTACATAAAGGGTTAATCTACTTTGTAAAAAGAGAAATGCACTTGTGTATAATGTTAAAATAATAATTATACAACATTAAAATCAGTACACAATTAAAATGATTTCGAAATAATGACTACACGTTTCGACGTGTCACATGTTGAAAAATGTAGTAATTAATTTGAAATGATTTTAATTGTGTATTGATTTTAACATTGTATATCTATTATTTTCACACACACACACACATACATATATACACACACACACTTTTTATTTCTATACAATTTTCAAACAGACAAAATTAAGATAAATACCTTCCATTTCTTTATTTTTCTAATTCCTAGTTTTGAGTTCTTTAAGGAAGCAGCTAATACACACCTTCAGAACCTTCTGACTCCATGTGCGGATCACCTTTTCTCCTTCAACATCAGTGAGAACGAGACATATCTTGTTGAAGGTTTCAACACCAGTGGCAATGAGTTCTGGAGGAGAAGAGAACTGTTGCAGTTGGGAAGCCAGGTCCTCTGAAAGAAAATACAAGTACTTTTAATATGGCCAGGTCCTCTGAAAGAAAATACAAGTACTTTTAATATAGCCAGGTCCTCTAACATAAAATACAAGTACTTTTAATATAGCCAGGTCCTCTGAGAGAAAACACAAATACTTTTAATATAACCAGTTCCTCTAACATAAAATACAAGTACTTTTAATATAGCCAGGTCCTCTAACATAAAATACAAGTACTTTTAATATAGCCAGGTCCTCTAACATAAAATAC